GATTGAAACGTGAATTAAAATTAAAACAATAAAGCATTAAGTAGTAGTAGTATATAGCAGGACGAATTGGAGTAAGAGAACCTCAAACTACTCCTTAAGTGTAAGATAGTAGTTCCAAAGAACGAGTTTGAACGATGTTCTGAACGTGGCTTTGCGTATGTCGTTTGCTAATTCGCTCTATAACCGTATAGCACGATGAATAAAGGAGTCGTACAGAAGTTATGTGTGACATAAGGGGACATCGAGAGTAGAATTATCCGCCGAACCTAGACCATGGTAATGGGCTTCATCCTAATACTTAAATTTGCATTTCAGATGGGAACTTTTTTTGTAATCTTTCCGCTATTACAAACGACTGAAAGAAAGTTTTTCTTAAATCCGTAAGGAAATTCATAGCGGGTAGTTTTAAATACGTACGAATAAACCGCCCAACAAGAGCACGAAAAGAAAATAACTACTGAGAGCGTGGCAACGTGCATATTATAGGCAAATTTTGGTAACATGTACTGGCATGTATAAAATCAGTTTTTTTATTTTTATATTTTAAGTCTCCATACTAGAATTTTCTGCTGTACCATGGAGAAAGTTTATTCAAAAGGACAAACATTCAGACCCGAAACAATTATTTGTGGGCCTTACTTGACTTGTCACGTACGTAATTTGAACCCTCAGCGCCGCAGCTCATTGCTGAGCCACTTCTCCAGGGAGCCGTCAAGATAAACGGATAAATAATACCTAAATTTTAGTAATCCACGATTAAAATTATATGTAAGATCGTCAATATAAAAAGCTAAAGTCGATTTCCTGTTATGAATCCTTTATATAAAACTGAGCGGAAAATTTTAACAACGGTTTGAAATTCCAACGGATCTATGAAAAAAAACCTAAAGTATGCTGCATCACGGGAGATTCAATTAAATTTCACTCCGAAGGCGTTCTGAAAATTAACTCTCGCTCTAATGACTTGCCGACAAGTTGTTTCTTTTTAAGATTAAGATTAAGATCAAAAATCGTGATAAACTTTCACAAAGTATACAACAATTTTGTTTGGGATTTATATTAATTAATTACGTAAAATATTTGATATTAATATTTTATGATGAGAGTAGTTTTACCTATTTATTTTAAACTGAAATACATGTAAAAGAAGTTTTAGTGTTTGCTGGAGGTCACCGACACAGTAGTAAAAAAAGGACTTACAATGTTCAAACGTACAACAATAACCAATTATTCGTAAGTCATCTTGAATCTTGATGGGAAGTCTGCTAGTAAGGTCTTTTTCCTCCTATCGCAATATACGAAGGATTGCCGTATTTGCCAGTATTGCCGAATTATCAGTATTGCCGAAGGATTTGCCGTAATTGTTACACTTGGCGTTCTTAGAACCAGATGGTTTGCTTTTAGAGATTTGATTTGTTGTTTTTAATTATTGATTCTTGTTATATTTTTAAAGTGAAAACTTCTTTAAATGCGTTGAGCGATTTCTGGTAGAGGAAAAACTTATGGGTTAGATGACATCGACATGCTCGTGACGAATACGCATAATATATCATTGAGTTTTCACTTCTATCGGCTGTCCTAATTTTTACTGTTGTAATGAAATAAGGACGAAGTGAACAGTAGTATATTTTTTTCTATAACTAGCGTTTTACATAACTTATGTTGGAGTAACGTTATTTCTACTGCTTTGCTTTAGATAATGGATCTTGTAGCCCTCTATAATTGGAGGATAAAGCTAGTTTTAGTATCTTATTTTAGTTTTTATTGACATAAAACTTTTCACGAGTACTTTTTTATAGGATGTTATCCTATAAAAAAAGTACTCGTGAAAAGTTACAGGTTCTGCACGACAACAAGCTTCGTGTCCCGCGCCTCCGTCACAGTGAACGAGTGAAGCCGGCCACAGTCGAGCGTGTGCCTGCTATACTACCATATGTCAGAGGTGTCACAGACAAGATTGGCTACATCTTGAAGCGAGCTTCTATTAGAACATTCTACAAGCCGCCGAAGAAGATTAGTCAGTTCTTACCATCCGTCAAGTGTCATATTCCTCTACAAGATGCAGGAGTGTACAAGCTTGATTGTAATTGTGGTCTCTCATATATAGGGCAAACAAAGAGATCAATTAGAACCCGCGTAAAAGAACACATAGCTGACGTGAAGCATCAACGTTCCGGGAAGTCTGCAGTTTGCGATCATATTCTAGATGGCCCCAACCATTACATCAGATTTGATAGACCACAAATCCTCGCGAAAGAACATCGATTCCTACCAAGGATGATACGTGAGGCTATTGAAATTAAAAAAACATCCTAATTTCAATAGAGAAGGAGGCTGGGTACTACCACCTGCTTGGGATCCTATAATTAATAAAATTAAAACTAAACCCAAGCATACCACTGCAAGACTTCAAAATACAGTTAGTTCATTCTGCGTAGATAGGACCAAAAACAATAATTAAAAAGCTGAAGGTACTCCGGGTTAACTTTAACATCGGGACGTCAGTCACCTCAGTCCCCCCGTGACGATGGGTGCTGGAAAGCACCCGAAACGTAGGGTATTAAAATTAATATAAATAAAACGCGATAAAATCCGTAAAAGTAGTTTTAATCAATGTATAGTGTTCGCGTAAATATAAGAAATCATTATGTAATAGGCAACACAATAAATATACTATGCATGCAGATAATACAGAATAATAATAATAATAATTAAATGATATAATGTAATGTATATGGACGACATTAAGATCTATGCGGCAAATCAACGAGAGCTCCAAACGCTGCTTCACTGCACTGAACAGTTCTCTAGTGACATTAATATGTCATTTGGACTTGAAAAGTGCAGAACTGTAAATGTTTACCGTAGACGAATTGAGTCATCTAGAGGTTTCGACCTTCAGAGAGGTGGAAAGATCGACGCGATGACAGAAAATGACACCTATAAATATCTAGGCATCATCTAATCACTTCGAATCAATCACGGTGAAATTAGGTCAAAGATGATTGAAGTATACAATCAAAGTCTTAAAAGAATCCTCAGTTCAAGCCTAAATGGACGCAACCTCACTAAAACAATTAACACCTTTGCCATCCCAGTATTAACTTACACGTTTGGAGTAGTTAACTGGTCAGATACTGAACTGGCAAAAATTGAGAGGTCTACTCGCGTTATGCTTACTAAATATCTTATACACCACCCAAAATCAGCAGTTGAGCGGGTAACTCCATCTCGAGCCAATGGCGGTAGAGGACTGATAGATATTCGTAGATTGTGTGCTAAACAGATTCAGTCTTCGAATTATTTCCCCCTCCTCATGTTCAAATCCTCTCCCCTGCATCAAGCAGTAATGAAGGCTGATGACCGTCTAACAACATTCGATCTCCTTCATGCCGACAATTTCCCACCGTTAGAGAATGACGCTGAATACAAAGAAGCCAAACTCCAGCAATGGGCCTCAAAACCTCTTCACGGTCGATTCGCTAATGAACTGAGTCAACCACATGCGTCATTAAAGCGTCGAACAACTGGTTCAGACATGGTGAGATCTTTGCTGAAACTGAGGGATTCATGGTGACGATTCAGGATCAGGTTGTGCCTACGAAAAATTATCTTAAGTACATTGTCAAGACAGTTATCGAAGATGACCAGTGCCGACGGTGTCATCAAAAGCCAGAGACCATCCAGCACGTAACTGGCGGCTGCCAGGCTCTTGCTGGAACCGAGTACACCCAGCGCCATGACATCATCATCATCATCATCATTACAGCCCTTCACAAGTCCACTGCTGAACATAGGCCTCCCCCAAGTAACGCCACAAAGCACGATCCTGAGCCACCTGCATCCATCGACTTCCTGCATGTCTTACCAGGTCGTCACTCCATCTAGTGGGGGGTCGCCCTACACTACGCCTACCAGTACGAGGCTGCCACTCGAGAACTTTTCTTCCCCATCGGTTATCGGTTCTTCGAGCTATATGGCCGGCCCATTGCCACTTCAGCTTACTAATCCGTTGGGCTATGTCGGTCACTCTGGTTTTACTGCGGATATCCTCATTTCTGAGTCTATCACGCAGAGAAACTCCGAGCATAGCCCTCTCCATAGCTCGCTGAGTGACCTTGAGCGTCCTCATACGGCCAGCAGTGAAGGACCACGTCTCTGATCCGTAAGTCATCACTGGCAACACTACACGGACTATTTGTCCCAGGTAAACGTACTCGTCAACAACTTCGAGCATAGTGCTCCCAACAACTACCGACATAGGTATGACATGGACATTGAACATGATCTTTGTTGACCGTTTGGTGATTCTGAGTATCAGGTACGCAACCCTCGTCGACACACTCCCGATCTTTACAACGTTGTTGACGAGAGACTTGTGGACGATAAATCCGACAGCTCCTTGGGACAGATGGTCGCCCTCCCGGTGATAGAACAAGTTGCCGGACTCGAGGATTATCGTGTCCTCCCCCCTCTCTTCGGACCTCAGATAATCCAATAATATGCCTAATATAATAATATGCCGCAAATTGTCTACCTCTTCTTCCAGCTCCAGTATCTTCTCGTCAATCCTCAGGGTGCGTGCGTTATACGTTGCCAGGTCGAGTCGTCGTAGGTGGCAACCGAACCTTGCTGACCATGGTAACGGCGGGGCAGGGGGTGCTTCTTAGCACGCCACCGTAGCCAGGAATAGCGGGGCCGCCGGGGACTGGGGGCCGTTTATTTGCGTCGTTGCTCATGGGGGGATATTTGCCATAGTTGCCACGCTTGGCGAGCGGGTTGGCAACCGCAGTTTTTTATTATGTTATTGTTGTTATTAGGAAGATGCTGCTGCCTATCTCCTTTCTGTGTCCCTCTGTCGCCTCTTACGACACCTACGGGAAGATATGGGGTAGTGGATATTCTCAACCGCCACTACAAGGCTAACTAACACTAGGCGCCATGAAAACGTGGCAAAAATTGTGCACCAAGAGCTGGCACTAAAATACGGTCTCCTTAAGGAGACAGAACCCTACTGGAAATACAATCCATCCCCGGTACTCGAGAATGATTCTGCACAACTTTATTGGGAGAGGTCAGTTTTAACTGACCGGACCGTTGAGCATAATCGACCGGACATAATATTAGTAGAAAAGGAGGAGAAGCGGACGTGGTTGGTTGATATTGGCATTCCAAACTCGCATAATGTGCAGAAGTACAGCACTGAAAAATTGATTAAGTACCAGCGGTTAGCTGAAGAAATCCGACAGTTAAGGCGACAGCAGAAGGTACTTATGGTCCCGCTGATTCTCTCTACCACGGGAGTTGTTCCTAAATCTCTTACTGACAATTTAGTTAAGCTGGGCATTTCAGTAAGAGCGGCATCTTGCGATCAGCCGATGCCGAATTTTAAAACCCTAAAAGGAGCGTTAATGCAGATCGTATAATAATAATAATTTCTTTATTTGACACTTATAATTTCATACAACATCATTGAGCCCTGACTCCCAAACTAGGATACCCTGTATTTCAGGAGTCAGTTCCTTCCCATTCAGTAACTCTTTGTGTCAAAATACATTAGAGAAATGTTGATATATATTTAATACACAGTTAACACTATATACATGTGTGTGTGTGTGCGTGTGTGTGTGTGTGTGTGTGTGTGTGTGTGTGTGTGTGTGTGTGTGTGTGTGTGTGTGTGTATGTGTGTGTGTGTATGTGTGTGTGTGTGTGTGTGTGTGTGTGTGTGAGCGCGCGCGTGCGTGTGTGCGCGTGCGTGTGTGCGTGCGTGCGTGCGTGGCGTGTGTGTGTGTGTGTGTGTGTGTGTGTGTGTGTGTGTGTATATGTGTGAGTGAGTAGCGTGTTTGTTGCACTGCACATAAAGTTATTCATATGGAGCTGTTTTATTTAGTATATTATATAACTTGGGAGCTACGTAATTATAATTCCTTTTGCCGAATATGGATTTAACTTTGGGGATATTTATACGTACAGTTCTTCTTGAATTTAGTATTTGCGGAACACTACAATCTATGAAAGCGTCTAAGACATTGATATATGAATAATTTGCGAACACTTAGTACATCATAAATACAATAAATAACTAATAACTTAAATTTTTTAAGAGTAAATTTACGTAACACTGTAACGAGCAAGAGATTATATACTCTGTAGTAAAGAGTTGCCGCCATTTGGAGATAAATATTATAATATTTTTTATAATCATCACCACCATCATCATCATCATCATTACAGCCTATCAAAGTCTACTGCTGAACATAATCCTTTGTCCCATAGATTGCTTCATAGCAGAGAATACTTGCTATAGTTGCCACGCTTCGCTGACGGACGGGCAACATCAATATTTTTGTTATTTTGAGTTGCTATCAGAAAAATGTTGCTGCCGAGTTTCATTTTGCCTTTGTAGTATCATGATATGGAGCAGTAAACAGCGGATTCTCCGCCACTAAACAGCGAATATTTACTGAAAATACTAAAATAAATATTTAATAAATGAATTATAATTTTACATTTTTCATTTGATTTGAGTGCGTAATGCAAAGCGATATGTACATTGAAAATAATTTTTGATGGGGCTATCGTAAAATCCGTTTTTAGTGAGCGTGTACATTGCAAAATGAGTAAATGTACTAAATTTTAAGTAAATCGGGTGTGTAATTTTAGAGATCTCGTGATGAGTCAGTTGGTCAGTGATATTTCCTTTATATATATAAACTTTCATTGTATGATCAATCTTTTAACACGTATAGTAAGCATTTGTGGAAGGAATCTTAATTAATAGTGAGATCGTTTTGAAATTACTCCTTTCAGCCCTTCCACAATGAACAGAAAGCTCTGCAATAGTAAGTGAATTGCCGGAATGTCCATTGTCTATTATTAGTACGTAAGAAGAAGAACCACGTATTGTTCGCCAGAATTAAAACGCATAATTTTTTGCTATTAAATAAAAAAAGAGACATTTTCTTTATTGTTGCTATTTCATTTGCTTTATTGGTTGTAAGACTCCTTTTTTACCTAGGAATCCATCTGGGTAAGTCCACCCGCTCCCCTATTTCTACCGCCAAACAGCAGAGCCTACACTGCTGTGTAGCGGTCTGAAGTATATAGAGATAGAAGGCCAGTATTATAACATGATGACATTTGGGGGATGAAACTGCTCGCGTCCGTAGGAATCACTTGAAGAATCCCCGTAAACACGTATCTTCTGAGTATTTTTAGGCACGGGCTGCACATTGGCAAACTTCCAAGATTTAGGCACTATTTCAGTCTCTCTGTGCTCTCAGGTTTTTTCACGTCTAGACTTCGCAAAGTTTTAAGAACCTCCTTGTTTGGAATAATAACCTTTTACATAGGAGTAACGCAGTAAGGTAGTTGATATGGTACGCTGTTGCTACTGTCCGGACGCAAATCGCAAGCAAAAAGAGAAGCAAATAAGCCCGCTTTCTCTTTAGGCGATCATGCGCCAATGAGCCATCTGGTTTCACCATTTACCGATGCGTTTAATGCTATTGAAACTACTATGCCCTAATGCCTTTCTGCACCCGACACTAATAAATGGCCGCGTCACTACATGTTCTTATGCGCGACGCAACTGTCAAGACCTTTCTTCTCTTTTCGGCTTTTCTGAGGGGTATAATGCCTACCAAAACTGGCTCTTTCCATACCAGAAGACCGAACACGCTGGGAGGACGTGTGAAATTTTGCCTTGTCGATGGGGCTCTCCCAGCTGGTACAACAAGCGACTAGCAATTGCTACGACCTTCTGCCAACGACCGATCCAGACAGGTACAACGTCCCGGTTACTTCACCCTTGGGAACTTCTGACCACTATCAGGTGAAATCTGTGTCGTTATATACCCAACTAACTACAATTTTCACGGTGTATGGCGGGTGTGGCGATACAAATCAGCAAATAAATGCCGCATTCCCAGATGCGGCATTTATTTGCATCTTATCCTTGGCGGCAGTTGTGTTTGTCGTCTGAAGACCCGTCAAGCTGCGCGGATACCATAATTGATGTGATATGTCAAGCGATGGAGTACTTCATCTCCTTTGCTGACGTACCCATTGGTGGTAAAGCCCCCATGGTTCAACGTCGAATGCGCTCGTGCAGAAAAGCTCAAGCATATTTAGTAATTATCCTGGGTCAATGCTCAAGACCACAAAGCTCTGGATGTTAGCTTTAGGAAGAGAGTCTTTTACCAAGCTGCCAAGTCTCGTAAAAAGGCATTACGGCATAGTAGTTTCGATAGCATTAAACGCATTGGTACAAAGCTCTCTAACAAATCATCTGACAGTAGAGCTTTTTGGTCAATCACCAAAATGGTCGAGACAAACTTCTGTCGGTTTATACTGCCTCCGCTATTAAAACCAGATGGTTCACTGGCGCATGATCGCCTAAAGAGAAAGCGGGCTTATTTGCTTCTCTTTTTGCTTGCGATTCACGTCGAGACAGAAGACACAGCGTATCACATCAATTACCTTACTGCGTTACCCCTAAGTCAGAGGTCCATATACCCAACAAAGACGTTCTTAAAACCTCTTAAAACCTTCTTAAAACCAAAGTGTAGACGTAAACAAAGCCAGTGGACTTGATGGTTTACCAGCTATAGTTCTAAAGGTCTGTGCACCTGAGTTGTCTCCTGTGTTGACGCACTTTTTCCGCCTCTCATTCAAAACTGAAATAGTGCTCAAACCTTGGAAGCTGGCTCATGTGCTGCCTGTGCCTGTAAAGGTATCCGTGCCGACCCTACCAACTATCGGTTAATTTCAATCACCTTCATAGTCTGCAAGATTATGGAGCGTGTATTTAACGCCCACTTAATGACAACCTAGAACATAATGATCTTTTTAATTACAGGAAAAACCCGTATTACCGGTCACTAAGAAGGTCATCGTATAGTGGCGGTTAAGAATATCCACTACCCCATAATTTCCCGTGGGTGTCGTAAAAGGCGACAGAGAGAAACAGGCAGGAGATGGGCAGCAGCATCTTCTAGCAACTGTACAAAAAGGAACAAAATAATACGGTTGCAAACCTGCTCGCCATGCGTGGCTACTATGGCAATATACCCCCCATGATGAGAGTTAGTAGCCAGTCAGTAGCCCAGTCCCCGGCAGCCCCGCTATTCCTGGCTACGGTGGCGACCATAGCAATGGCGGGGCAAGGGGTGCTAAGAATCTACGGTGGAGGCTCGGTTGCCAACTAAAACGACTTGACCTGGCAACATCAAAGCACACACCCTGAGGACCGACGAGAAGATCCTGGAGCTGGAAGAAGAGATAGAAAAGTTGCTCTAGAATATTATAGGATTATCCGAGGTCCGAAGAGAGGGGTAGGACACGTTGATTCTTGAATCCGGCAATTTGTTCTATCACCGGGAGGGCAAACATCTGTCCCAAGGAGGTGTTGGACTTATTGTCCACAAGTCTCTCGTTAACAACGTTGTAAAGATTGGTAGTGTGTCGACGACGGTTGCGTACTTTATACTCAGAATCACCAAACGCTATTCGCTGAAAGTCATACAGGTTTATGCACCAAGTGGGGAAAATGTATGAGGATATTTATACAGCCATGCTTTACTCCAAAACTCACTATACGGTGTTAATGGGAGACTTCAACACAAAACTCGGCAAAAGAAAGAACAGTGAGCTGAAGGTAGGGAAATTTGGGATAGGGCAACGGAACGCAAGGGGCCAGCAGCTGGCCGATTTCATGGAGAAAGAGGGACTCTTTATGATGAACTCATTCTTCCAGAAGCGGTGCCACAGAAAATGAACCTGGTCGAGCCCCGACGGTGCGACAAAAAATAAGATTGACTTCATTATGACGACTAGACGGCAACTGATCAATTATGTCTCAGTGATCGCAAGGATGAAAACTGGCAGCGATCACCGAATGGTTAGAGGCACACTGAACCTAAACGTTAAGTTGGAGAGGTCTCGCCTAATGAAGTCAACGCTCCGTCTCACTCGTGCTCTTATCCAAAATCTTTAAACATTTCAGCTCGAGCTTCAAAACCACTTTCAGTGCATAGAACATACGAATGACAAGCTCGTGGAAACTGTCCATGCGGTCGCAGCTAAGTTCTGCAAGACCCGCCGCAGAAGAACACGAAAACTTTGATTAAAACTACTTTTACGGATTTTATCGCGTACTATTATTTTTAATTCCCGACGTTTGTGGCGCTTTTCAGCACCCATGGTCACGGGGGACTGAGATGACTGACGTCCCGATGTCATTGTTAAACCCGGAGTACCTTCAGCTTTCTTAATTATTGTTTATGGTCCGATCTATGCAAAATGATAAACAATCAATGTGTAGTGTTCGCGTAAATATAAGAAATCATTATGTAATACGAAAACTCTCCGATCACACTCTTAATCTCATGGCTGTTAGAGATGAGGCTGTAATCGTCAGCAGATT